GAGACCTGAAGGATGAGGAGCCATCCTTGAAAAGAGTGGAAGAGAGAGAGGTAGTCCTTCATGACAGGGACATTGAGAGTAAGGCCCTGCCTCATTCATAGTCCTCCAGCCTTTGCACTCAGCATGGTGTTCACCTGCTATCTCATATAGATACTCTGGTTGTTGTACATAGAGAAACCAGCTGGGTGGGAGATCTCAGTAGTGTAGGGGTGGTGGGGAAGAACACCAGAGGTTCACTGCACCCAGCAGCAATAACATATGCCTTTTTTAGCTGGATGGTGACCAGGGTCAGATGGAATTGGTCAAGCTTTCTTTCCAAACAAGACCCTTCGTACTCCCTTTCATTCCAAACAACACTCTCTTCTTTCATTGGGAGTAAATGAGCATATCAGTCTGTGCCTCTTGATGCTCATCAGGTCAGAGCTGATGTCCCAGTGGGGCAGCCATGTGCCAATCCAGATCTAGGGAGATGGGAAGGACATTCCAAATCTAGAATTCACCAAAGGCCTACAGGTTCTCTCCAAGAGGTCAAAGAGCGCACAGTTCCTGATTTATCCTAGTGTTCCATCCCTTGGGAGATCAGAAACTCTGGCTTTCCATTTGAAATCTTTTAAGGTGACATCGGAAAGGAGTTTGGCTGAGGGCCTGATGGTAGTAGATGTTCAGCTCGTATACGCTTCTTTTTCCTCTAACATCTGACAATCTGGCCTGGTCTTTCTGGTAAGACCCCTGAATCCTTCTCATTCCCTCAGTCATGTATTGCGTGTACCCATTGTGTGTTGAGGCCCATGCTAGGGACTAGAGATCAGAAACATAAAGTACAGACTCATTTTTTGAGGGGCTCATTGATGGCAGTAGAGTCGCTGGGAGTGAGGTACATAGTTAAGAATACAGGTTCTCGGGATCCCTGGGTGGCGCAGCGGTTTGGCGCCTGCCTTTGGCTCAGCGCGCGATCCTGGAGACCCGGGATCGAGTCCCATATCGGGCTCCCGGTGCATGGAGCCTGCTTCTCCCTCTGCCTGTGTCTCTGCCGATCTCTCTGTGTCTCTCATGAATGAACAAAATCTTTTTAAAAAAAAATTAAAAAAAAAAAAAAAGGAATACAGGTTCTGGAGCAGATAACCTAGATTTAAACCCCAGCCCCACCAATTCCTAGTTGCATGATTGGGCATGTTATTTAATCTTTCTGTGCTTTGATTTCTTGATCTGTAAAAGGAGAATAACAATAGTGCTTACATCACAGGGCCCTTGTGAGAACCAAATGAGTTCATACATGTAAAGCAAGTAGAATGTTGCCTGTCACATAATAAGGTTAGATAAATGATTCACATATATGTATATGTAAGATTATTATAATGAAATTAGTGTTATATAAAGACAGGATATCAATGAACACTTGCTTATTGCTTCCTTGACACAAGCCCTGGACCACTGTGTGTGGGAATTGTGGTAAGTAGAATTGCCAAGGCCCCTACCCTCATGTGCTGACAGTCGAGTGGGGAAGACGGTTGCCAAGCACAGTGTGCAGAAAGCAGCAAAAGAGAAGCAGAACAGAGAGCCCTCCCGTAGGAGCTAAGAATTGGGAGTGGCAGCTGGTCTTGGACGGTTGGGAGGTGTTTGGGTTGGGTGTGAAGAAAGGGGCATGCCCACTGCAGCACTGCTGTGTTAACTTGTGCAAAACAAAACTTCAAGAGAAGCTGACACTATCAACGTGGCCAAATCTCTTAACACATTAAGTTGAATTTCTAAAAAGTTGCAATGGATTTCATGTCATAGGACAACATGACATGATGGTGACAGTCAGAATTTTTTTTCTTTTTTTTTAAGATTTTATTTATTTATTCACGAGAGACACAGAGAAAGAGAGAGGCAGAGACACAGGCAGAGGGAGACACAGGCTCCATGCAGGGAGCCTGATGTGGGACTCGATCCCAGGACTCCAGGATCGTGCCCTGGGCCAAAGGCAGGTGCTGAACTGCTGAGCTACCCAGGGATCCTCCAGTCAGAATTTCTTAAGAGCTTTCTAAGTGCCCAGTACTGTTCTAAATACTTTGCTTATATTAATCCATTTAATCTTCTCAAGAGCCCTGTAAGTTAGGAGCTATTATTAGCTCTATTATACAGATAAGGGAACTGATGCACAGAATGGGTAAGTCACTTGCCCAAGTTAATAGGTGGCATAGTCAACATTAGCACAAGGCTGTCTGGCTTGACAGCCTGTGCCTTTACCATTACACTGTGAGAAAAACACACAGAATAATACCTTTTTGTACAAACAGTAAAAGTGTAGTCATGCATAAAGCCACAGTATCTTCTGGGAAGAGGAAGTAAAGGAAGGAAAGATGATAGGATAGACCTTTTATTTTGGTGTCTCTTTTTTAAAAAATCTGAAACAAAGCGAAGTATTAATATCTGCTAATTTGGGTCACATGTATGTGGATTGTAAAATTATTTTCTATATTTTCCTGTATGTTTTGAACTATTTAATAACTTTTTTAAAGATCTAATTTATTCATGAGAGACACAGGGAGAGAGGCAGAGGCAGAGGGAAAAGCAGGCTCCTCAAGGGGAGCCCAATGTGAGACTGACTCCATCTCAGGACTCCGAGACCATGCCCTGAGCCAAAGGTAGATACTCAATCACTGAGCCATCCAAGCATCCCACTATTTAATAACTTTTAATTGAAGATTTTGTTGAGGTAATTGTAGATTCACATGTTGCAAGAAATAACAAAGATAAAAACAAAGAAAGGAAAAAGGAAGGGAAGGGAAGGGAAGGGAAGGGAAGGGAAGGGAAGGAAGGAAGGAAGGAAGGAAGGAAGGAAGGAAGGAAGGAAGGAAGGAAGGAAAGAGAGAGAGAGAGAGAGGAAGAGGTCCCAGATACTCTTTACCCAGTTTTGCCCATTGCTGGCATTTTGCAAGACTGCAGTACAGTATCACAACCAGGATGTTGACATTGATACAATCCACCCAACTTATTCAGATTTTCCTAGTTTACTTGTACTCATTTCTGTATGTGCACGTGAGTGTGTGTAGTTAGGTCTGTTCAGTTTTATACATATGTAGGTCTGTGTATCCACCACTTCAGTCAAAATATCTAAACAGTTCTAACTTCACAAGGATCTTTTGTGACCAGTATATAACTGCACACATGTGCCTAAACATGCACATGCACACACACACACATGGGCAAGGACACCCTAGCCCCTGACAACCACTAATCTCTTCTCCACTTCTGTTCCCCATTATGTCATTTCAAAAATGTTATATAAATGCAATCAGGGGTGCCTGAGTGGCTCAGTTGGTTAAGTGTTTGCCTTCGGCTCAGGGCATGACCCCAGGGTCTTGGGATCAAACCCCACTTGGGCTCCCTGCTCCTTGAGGAGCCTGCTTCTTCCTCTGCCTCTGCTACTCCCCCTGCTTGTGCTCTCTCTCTCTGTCAAATAAATAAATCTTTTTAAAAAATAATAAAATATAAATAAATTTGTTTAAAAATAAATAAATAGGGCAGCCCAGGTGGCTCAGTGGTATAGTGCTGCCTTTGGCCCAGGGCATGATCCTGGAGACCCGGGATCGAGTCCCACATTGGGCTCCCTGCATGGAGCCTGCTTCTCTCTCTGCCTGTGTCTCTGAGCCTCTCTCTCTCTGTCTCTCATGAATAAATAAATAATAAACTTTAAAAAATAAAAATAAAATAAAAATAAGTAAATAAATGCAATCAGACAGTATATAAGATTGAGGGCTTCTCTCACTCTGCATAACTCCGATGAGATCCATCCCACATTGTTGCCTGTCTCAGTACTTTGTTTGTTGGTATTTCTGTGTCAGATTCCATGGTAGGATGCACCACAGTTTGGTTAACTAACTATTCACTTCTTGGATGTTAGAGTAATTTCCAGTTCAGGGCTATTATGAATAAAGCTTCTATGAACGTTTGTATACTGGTTCCTGTGTGAATATAGGTTTTAATTTCTTTGGGATAAATACCCAAGAATGCAATTGCTGGGGCATATCATAACTGCATTCTAGTTTTAGTGAAACTGTCAAACCATTTTCCAGAGTGATTATGCCTATTTTGTAATTTTAAGAAAAGGTTTTTTTGGCTGACAGAGAGAAGGCAGTCCAGGTTGGGGCAAGAAGCATACAGAGCTTTGGAGCTTGAAAGTGCATTCAAGTTGATGGAACCATCAAGATGTTTGGCTTGCTAGGACAGACTCTGGATTTAGCTGAAGAGGAAGAAGCATAGGTTTGTTCCTTACTCGTTCAGTCAACAGATATTCACTGAGCTCTTACATGTGCCAGACACTGTCTTAAGCACCTGGAGGCACTGCCTTCAGAAGTCTGTGTCTAGCAGAAAAGACAGGGTGAAATAATTACAAAACGTAGTGTACAAGGAGGAAGGAGAGCCGTCGGAAGGGTATGATGGGCATCTGCAGATGGCAGGTGCTTTTCATGAGGGCAGGGACCATGCCTGTCTTGTTCTTCCCTGGGCCCTAGCACATAGTAGGCAGTCAACAAATATGTGTTAAATGTCGAGTGAATGTTCTCACCCAGTATACACATTGCCTGTGAGCATGACCTGTCCACAGTCCTCTGTAAAGCTGCTGCATGTCCCAGTCCTGCCATGTGGGTAAAAGGGCAGAGGTGCGGTCCAGACACCCCACCCTGGAGTGAATTACCACACCACAGATTGGAAGCCAGCATGACATACAAAAGGTTGGAATGCCCTACTGTAAATTTTTAATTGTTAAACAAGCAAAGAGGATTGTAAATTCCGTGCGGCGGGACAGTATTGTATATTGTGCCTGTTGTCACCCGCCGCAGTTCCTTATCAGCCTGTTGGGGTTTCACAGCCTCTCGTGCTTCTTGCATATTAGAGGGGCCCCTTTCTGCAGGGTCTCTGGGGTATGGTGCAACACCATCCTTTGTCCTGTGGGGGCAGCGACCAGGCTGTCTGTGGGTCCTCTGTCATGACTTCCCCTTGTTCTGTCTCATGCCTAGATTTTCTCCAAAGGAACATCCAGTGCTGGCCCTGCCGGGAGCCCCCGCCCAGTTCCCCGTCCTGGAGGAGCACAGACCGCTCCAGAAGTATGTGGTATGGTCAGATGAGATGGTGAGGTCAGGAGAGGCCCACATTCTCACCCACCTCATCCGGCCGTACGTGGGCATTCACCTGCGCATTGGCTCTGACTGGGTAATTTTTCCCTTCCTTTCATGGCCAGCATGTCCCTGATTAGGGCCCATGCCTATGGGTATTAAACATTAAACACTGAACCCACTGCACAGAATCCCAGCCAGAGTAGAGAAGTTTCACTCAGCCAAGTCCACAGGGCAATGTTCCATAATCCTGCCATAGACACATCAGAAATATGGCTCCAGATGCTTGCTTGCCAGCCCCCAATTCTAACAGTGACCACTTTTGTCCTTATTTTGCAGATGGATAAATAAAATCAAGCTAGACTCCAAGTTAGGCAACAAGCCAGAGAAAGACCCACAGCCCAGGAGTCCTGTGGTCCAGCTCAGTGTTTAGCCAGTAGACTCTTTGTTGAAAAACAGGCTCTGGAGATTGGGTGGGGCTCCCAAGAAATGAAGATGTCATCTTCCAAATTTGGAGGCCACTTAAATGTGCAGAGACTTCATCAGATTATCTTCTGTATGAAAATAATAGGGGAAATGTAGACAGTCTCCTTAATTTACATAAGATATGTGTATACGTCTGTATATTAGAAATGCTCATTGCTAAAGACTTGAAAAATATTGCAAAGCATAGAAATTAGATCAGAATTCACTCAGAGTTGTTCAAGGAAGTACAGTTGACCCTTGAATAACATGGGTTTAAACTGCATGGGCCTGCATACATGCTGATGTTTTACAGTGCAGGGGTGTACATGGGTTTTCTTTTCCTAATGACTTTCTTGTTTCTAGCTTCCTTTATTGTAAAAATACAGTATGTGATGGATATAATATATAAAATATGCATTCATTGACTGTTTATGTTATCAATAAGGCTTTGAATCTGCAATAGGCTATTAGAAGTTAATTTTTGGGGAAGTCAAAATTATATGCAGGTTTTTTTACTGCGGGGGGGGGGGTTGCCCCTATGCCCTGTGTTGTTTAAGGGTCACCTGAAGTCACACATTTATGCACTTGACTCCCTTCCTGCCCTCCTTTCATAAAGAAAAGAAACCAGGCTCAGAATATCTTGGCCCAGAATAGAGTGGTTTCAGCCAATCCTTTAAGAAACAATTTTCATCTATACATAGTTAGAACATAAAAAGATATAAGATGTTATATTTTTATAGAGCAAACATAACACTAAACCAAACTCAGATAAAGTCAGTTCAGAGGAATAGAGCTCATTCTCACAAACATAGATGCACATACCCTAAGTAGAATATCAGCAAGTAAACTCCAGTAATGTATTAAAGAGCATACAAGTAAACTTTATCCCAAGAATGCAATGAAATTCACTATATTAGCACCCAAAGAGGAAAAATCATGTAATCATCTTAATAGAGGCCAAGAAAGCATTTGATAATAGTCAATACTCATTCATAATTAAAAAAAAAAAAAACACCTCTTAACCAACAGGGAATAAGGGACCCACCTTAACTTGATAAAGGCTATCTCTCCGAAACCCACAGCAAACATGTACTTCATGGGAGCTAACAGAAGTTTTCCCACTGAAGTCAGAGATCAGATAAGGCTGCCCATTATCACCACCATGGTTCAGAATTCTACTGGAAGTCCCAGATAATATAAACACTAAGAAAAAAATATTTTGTAGAAAGCCAATATGCCACTACACAGAAACAACTATTACTCTTTTGATACATTTTCCCCTTTCCGCAGTTCCTTTTTTAAAAAAACACACTTGAACTTCTGTATAGCCTTTATCCACTTAGTGGCTCTTGCTTCTGGGTTCCTGGGCTGGCTGCTGTCTTTAACCCTGTCCCCTGACAACCCCACAGAAGAACGCCTGTGCCATGCTGAAGGACGGGACCGCAGGCTCCCACTTCATGGCCTCCCCACAGTGTGTGGGCTATAGCCGCAGTACGGCGGCCCCCCTTACTATGACTATGTGCCTCCCCGACCTGAAGGAAATCAGACGGGCCGTGAAGCTCTGGGTGGAAGCACTGAATGCCCAGTCGGTCTACATCGCCACGGATTCCGAGAGTTATGTGCCTGAGATCCAAGAGCTCTTCAAAGGGAAGGTGTGTATGGTCCCAGTGGGAGTGTGGGAAAGGGAATCAAAGGGAGCTCCAGGGTGGTCCCACTGCTTCCTCTGCATGCTTCATGTCCTCCCTACACTTAGACACCCACTTCTGCTCCAGTGCCTATCCTTTCTTCAAAGCCCGACCCAGGGCAGCCCCAGTTTAGCGCCGCCTGCAGCCTAGGGTGTGATCCTGGAGACCCAGGATTGAGTCCCAGGTCAGGCTCTCTGCATGGTGCCTGATTCTCCCTCTGCCTGTGTCTCTGCCTCTCCCTCTCCCTCTCTGTGTCTCTATGAATAAATAAGTAAATAATCTTTAAAAATAAATTTAAAAAAAATTTAAAAAACAAACAAACAAAAAAAAACAAAGCCCGACCCAACCACCTTGGCACATTCTCTCCTGGTTTCCCTGCACTCTTATAGCTGTTGTGTCCCTACTGGAGCTATCACAGCAGTTTATCACATCTGCTCTTGAGGCACTGTCTAGCCTGCATGGGGCTGGAAATACGGCCCACTTCCTAAGAGTTATGCTTTGGACAGTAGAGTCCAAGGGTAACTCATTGTTCTGTCCCTCGGCATCTGGGGGCCTTGCCATCACCAACATCTAGGACAGTGCCTAACACAGTAGATGCTCAGTAACTGTTGAATAAGGATGTGAAGAGCAGGTCCTTGGGAGAAATCTGGTGGAGCAGAGAGATTAACGGCCTGGACTCTGGAACCAGAGAACCTAGGCACTACTCACTGTACAGTTTTGTGCAAGTTACTTGAGCTCACTGTGCTTCCGTTTCCTCTTCTGTAAAACGGGCCTGAGAGTAGTCCTATCTCACTGGGTGGTTGTGAAGGTGAGATATAAAAAAAACTAAAACAGATCCAGTACAAAACAAGTCCTCGATAATGTTAGCAGTCACTGATAGTAGGAGTAGGTGGTTGATGAATAAAGGGAAGGCTCTTTTGTGCTTAGTAAACGCTTAAGGAAATGGTGAAGAGTAAATATTCAGCATGTGACTAAAGAGTGGATGTGATTGGTGCTGTGTCAGGGAAGGATAGGTATTAAGTAAGTATGTATCAATAAAATGATTAATAATAAGCATTCAGCAAGTTTTTTAAAAAAAGATTTTATTTATTTATTCATGAGAGACACAGAGAGAAAGGCAGAGACACAGGCAGAGGGAGAAGCAGGCTCCCTGCTGAGGAGCCTGATACGGGACTCGATCCCAGGACCCTGGGATCACAACCTGAAACAAAGGCTGACACTCAACCACTGAGCCACCCAGGTGCCCCTTAGTAAGATATTTGTGGAATGGATGGAAGTCCTAAATGCTTATACAGACCTTAAAAGATTTGCTTTCTAGTAGGGAGAACCCTGGGCTTTATGTGAGGGGCCCCCTTCTACTTTTACCCCAGACATGGGCTGGAAGCCCTGACTCGTAGAGAAGGTGCTAAAGCAGTGCATCCTGGCCTTCCTCCCACCCACCCACTTTATAGAAGACCATCAGCGCTGGGAGACCTCAGGGCTCCTCTAACCCATCCCCTGCCTTTTATAGCTGAGGAAACTAAAGTCCCAAGAAGGGATAGGATTTACCCAAGAGGTCTCAGAGCTAATTATAGTGGGCATGACACAGAGCGGGTAAGTTTCAGAGCGTGGGTGGAATTGCTTGGGGATTTTGGCCATGATTAAACTAGTATTATTTCTTTGCTACCATCCACATAGCAAGATGATGATTTTTGTTACATCAGAAATCTCTGTGTGACAGCAAAGCACTTTCAGCCCCAGCTCTGCCCACACCCATACCTCTGTACCCAGTTGAAGCATTTGGAGAGTCCCAGGGAGTTTTTTCATGAGTTTTTAGAGTCAATATATTTGTTATGCCTGGAGCTTCTTGCCATTCTCTGTTTCCTGTTCCTGTGCCACTACCCTTGGCCTCAGTCCCTTTCTCCATGGGTTCAGAACCCACCCTTGCTCCTCATTTAAGCTGGGTGCCCCCTGCTAAACTGGGGACACCGATGAATAAGATGTGGTCCTGCCCTCCAAGGCTCCCAGTCTAGACTCAGGACAAGAGACTTTGCACAAAACTCTAATAGATGCTACACAAGAGGCCCAGGAGCTTGAGTGGGGCAGGGACTCATTCATTCACTTGCCCAGTCAACAGATACTTATTGAGGCAGGCCCCAGCCAGCAGTAACCAGAAGACTGCGAAAGTCTCAACCCCATCAGGTGCAGGAGACAGATACTAATCAAAGTAGAAACTACAAACTGAGATGTCTGCTCCAAAGTAAAGGAACATGGTTCTGTGAGAGTATAGAGCAGAGGGACGCCTGGGTGGCTTGGTGGTTTAGCACCTGCCTTTGGCCGAGTCCCACATCGGGGTCCCTGCATGGAGCCTGCTTCTCTCTCTCCCTATATTTCTGCCTCTCTCTTTCTGTGTCTCTCATGAATAAATAAAATCTTAAAAAGAGAGAGAGAGAGAGAGAGCAAGCATACAGCAGAGGACTCTGGCCTAGACCAGGGTCTGCAGAGGTGAGACTGGAGCTGCAGAGTGAAGTTTAAGTAAGAATTAACCAGACAGGGCATCCCCGGTAGCGCAGCGGTTTGGCGCCGCCTGCAGCCCAGGGTGTGATCCTGGAGACCCGGGATCAAGTCCCGCATCAGGCTCCCAGCATGGATCCTGCTTCTCCCTCTGCCTGTGTCCCTGCTTCTCTCTCTGTGTGTGTCTCTCATGAATAAATAAATAAAATCTTTAAAAAAAAAAAAAGAATTAACCAGACAAAAAAGATGAGCACCCTGAACAGAGAGAAAATGCATACAAAGGTCCTGAGGCAAAAGGGAACCTGGTGGGTAGTGGCTGGAGCTCAAGGGGGAGATGGAGGGAGATAGGAGAGGTGGAGAGGTGGCTTGAACAGAGCTTTCTTTGTAGGCCCAATTCAAGATTTGTCATCTTTATCTGAAGAGCAGTAGGGCACCATTTAAGAGTGTTCAACTTGGGGTGGAGGGAGGGACAGAAAAAGTTTTCCCAGCTGTTCTGCTCTGTGGTAAGGGGACACATGAGGAGGCAAGAGGTTGTGGTGCCTGGGCCTAGGAAGTGTTAATCCACCAAGAGAAGGGTTCACTTTTAGGAAATATCTCGGGGATAAATCGAATAGGACTTAGGGCTCAGAGGCATCCAGGCAGCAGAACAGGGTGGGTGGGGTACTATTTGGCCAGATTACAGTTTGGTGGGGAGAGCCATGTCCTGCCAAACTAGGGCTTCATGAGAAAGGTGGAATTTGAACTGAGCCTTGAAATGTACAGGAAAAAGGCAGTCCAGGCAGAGGGAACCACACTAGTGAAGGCATAGAGGGCAAATGATGGTGTGTTTGGAGGGATGTTCTATGTCGGGGTGTGCCGAGACAGCCACTGGGCAATACTGCTGTTAGAATGCCCAACCCCAGGTCTTAATCTTCTCTGCCCACCTTTTGTGTCTGCCACTTCCTCAAGAATGGGGGAGGAAGGCTGAGGGTATAGCTTCAGGCCTTGGCCAAACTGGGTCCCCTTGGCCTTCAGCCACCCTGGTAAAAATGTTCTGCCCATCTTCCTACAGGTGAAGGTGGTGAGCCTGAAGCCTGACGTGGCCCAGATCGACCTGTACATCCTTGGCCAAGCTGACCACTTTATTGGCAACTGTGTCTCCTCCTTTACTGCCTTTGTGAAGCGGGAACGGGACCTCCAGGGAAGGTTGTCGTCTTTCTTCGGCATGGACAAACCCCCTCAGCTGCGGGATGAGTTCTGATCCTGGCTGGAGCACATCACCAGTCTGAGCTGGTCCCATTTGCCAGGCCTGGCAGCTGGCAGTGCTCCCAGGATTGATTCCCAAGAGTACAAGCTCTTCTGCTCCCTGGCCAGAGACAGAAAAGCACCAGGGACTTCTGGAGGAGAAGGACTCCATCTCCCAAGGCACAGGGCTTTCAGGCCTCCTGGAGCCAGAGTATCTCTGCTCTCTGCTATGTGTGCTTCCTACTATTTCTCTTGGGAATTTCTCATGCTGGCAAAGCAGTCCAACCTCTATCTTTGGTCTAGCCTTCTCTGAGCCCCCTGGGGGGCTAAACTCTCTTCAGCGATTTTTAATAGAGACCCAGAGATTTTTATAGTTTTGATATGAGATCCTAATTATTCTAGAACCCACCCTCATTTTTAAAAATCAGTGAAGTTCATTAACATAGGGACCTAAAGTGACCTTGAATTAAGGATGAGGCCAGTGGTGGAGTGGTTGAATTGACCCTTTCCCAGATGACCCAGAGTAACCCTTAGAGCAGGCCAGAGCCATCTCCACTGCCTGGCCAGAGCCATCATCAACCCCTCTTCCAAGGTCATTTCCAGGGTTTGGGGCATGAGCACTCATCTCCATTGTAAACACTATGCAAACAGAAGTTATTGATCAGGATGCTGTGCAGTGCTCTGCAAATACTGAGTGCTGCTCACATAGCACATTCCAAGCAAGGAGCACCTGCCATCGAGCCAGATCATCATGGTATTGCTCTCAGAGTCTCCTAGTGGTTGGTGGCCTGCCAACCACAAGATCTCACAATTGAGATCTTGGAGCACATCACCAGGGACCAGGGCTGAATGACCTGGGAGCATCCATTTCTTCTGTGTCCCAAGACGCCTGGTTGCAGAATTTTGCCATTAAGTTGCCATCCAATACCTGTTATCCCAGACTCTTTCCTGGAGCTGGAGCCAGTCCTCAGGCCATATTCTCACAAGGGCATGTTTGCCAAACCTCTGAGCAGATAGATAGAAGATGCCTATGACCCAGAAGCCATCAGATTTCCAATTTGCCCCTCATTCAGTGGAATCTCTACCAACCCCATGATGCTTAAGGTATTTAGTCATGAGTTTCTTTGTCTCTCAGATGCTAGAGTTGTGGTAATCCATGACTCCTCAGAGTCTGTGATGTTTTGTCCTTTTATTCTAAAATTCCTGTCTAATACCTGCTGGTCTCTTCCTGCCACATGACTTCCCTTGGCCTTCAATCCTGGGAAGGTGAAGAAAACTGATGAGAGCCAGGCCCAGAGCTCCATGTAGGACTTCCTTCCCCCTTGGATTACCTTTGGGAAGAAACACTGTCTCATTCAAGGCAGACTGGGTCAGAGATTGCAGAGCAACAAAGATCTCAAAGACTTATGGTAGCATTTGCTGCTTAGAGCTGTTGCCCAATTTGAAGCAGAGAAACTTGAGGAAGAAACTGTTCTAAATCCTCTGTGGATTCTGAGAGATGGCTTGTCTGTCCAGACATGTTCACAAGCTTCATTCAGAGGTGCGGGAGCCTGTGCACCCTGCCCCCATGGGGTCATCGGGAAGGTGTGGCTCACTGGCAGATTTTGTTTGCTGAATTCATCTGCTGATCACAAGCTCACACTGGGCACACGCTTTAGAGTTTGAGGCTCTAATGGGCCTTCCCACTTTGATTAACATTGGCAGTGATAACAACTTAAGTTTCTGGACAACAGGATGCCACGTTTGTAGTCAGATTCAGATGTATTCCATAAGCAAGCACTTTGTTCCTCTTTGACCCAGTTGCCTCACCTATAAAAATGGTGATAAAACTGACAGGGTTGTTGAAAGGCTCACATCTGATAAAGCAAGCATAAGAGTGCTTTGTAAACTGCAAAGACCCAAAGGCACGTATATGGCTGTTGATTAATTTGACTGCCTCTTGCCGCACACCTACCCTCTGCCAGACACTATGCTTGTTAAGTGCTTTATGGGAATTTAGTCCTGACTCCAGTCCTGGGGAGTAGGGGCTGTTAATATCCTTCTCCTTCTGCATAGGGGAAAATAATGCTCAGAAAATTCTCCTAATTTTCTCATGGCCTCATAGCTGGTGGTGTTAAGCCAGGATCTGACCTCCCAAAGCCATTACCGTTAGCACGTGCCCTCCTGCCACCAGTTCACAGGATGTACTTTACATCCTGTGTGTGTGTGGGCCTCAGGTAGGAGAATGATCAGCCACTTTAGTTCCCGGTGGGCTCCTGCCATGTATGGGTCGATCTGTCACTGCCAGGAGGTTTGGGGAAGGAGAGAGCACCCAGAAAAGAAAACCCACGTGAAGCTGCAGTTTTTGGGGGTAGTTATTCAGGCCACCATTCTTTCATTTAAATCAGCTGCTCTGTGCCAGGCACTGTGCTAGGTACAAGAATTCAGCAGAGAATCAGACAAAGCCTTTGTTCTCAAGGGCTTGGCACCGCAGTAAGTATACTACCTAATAAATTGTCAGGAAAGGTATTAACTGCTATGAAGAAAAATAAAGAACATGGGGGAGTTGAGAGGGAGCAGTACTGTTTGGGATGAGGAGTTAAGGTAAGGCCTCTCTGAAGAGCTGCCAGGAAGAAGGAGGGGACTACTCATTCAGGTATCTGGAGGCAGCACATTCCAGGCAGAGGAAACAGCAGGTGCAAAGGTCCTGGAGCTGGCGTGAGTGAGTGAAGAATGGCAAGGAAGCCAGCATGGTTGGAGTGTCCAGAGCAAGGCAGGGAAGAGAGCAGTAGGTGGGAATAGGCAAGGTCCTATATCCTGGAGGGCAGTGGTCAAATCAACACTTTTATTTGGAGAAATGGGAAGCTTTTGCAGGATTCTGAACAGAAAAGGATCAAGATCTATTTATAATTTGAAGGACCCCTCTAGCAGCCACATGGAAAAAAAGATGGGAGGGGTAGAAGCAGGGAGACCAGGGCCAGGCAGATCCAGGGATGCAAGCAGGCCAGAGGGGCTCAAGCAAAGGTCATTGTATTGAAGGTAGTGGGAAGTGCACAGATTCTGAATATATAAAATTATTTTTTAAAGTTCAAACTTCTTTATTTTTTTAATATTTTTAAGTAATCTCAGGATCCCTGGGTGGCGCAGCGGTTTGGCGCCTGCCTTTGGCCCAGGGCGCGATCCTGGAGATCCGGGATCAAATCCCACGTCGGGCTCCCGGTGCGTGGAGCCTGCTTCTCCCTCTGCCTGTGTCTCTGCCTCTCTCTCTCTCTCTCTCTATGTGACTATCATTTAAAAGAAAAAAATTAAGTAATCTCTACATCCAATATGGGGCTCAAACTTAGAACCCCAAGATCAAGAGTTGAATGTTCTGAGCCCACCAGGCACCCCATTAAATTTCAATCTTTTTTAAAGATAGGAGTCTTTGTATAGTTTTAATCATGCAGCATATAAATTTAATGTCTTGTTTTTCACTTAATAGTATATCATATTTTCCATGTTGGTACATGGCCTGAATAAATGTTTTTAATTACAAGATTCCATTGAGTGTCCCATAGCTTATTGTCCTATTAGGAGAACTTAGTATATTCCCAATTTTTCACCATTATTTAAATAATATTTTTATTTGCACTTTTTTTTTCTGTATCTAAAATGTTCACTAAGATAAATTCCCAGAAATGGATTTTTATTTTTTTAATTTATTTATGATAGTCACACAGAGAGAGAGAGAGGCAGAGAGAGAAGCAGGCTCCATGCACCAGGAGCCTGACGTGGGATTCGATCCCGGGTCTCCAGGATCTCACCCTGGGCCAAAGGCAGGCGCTAAACTGCTGCGCTACCCAGGGATCCCTAGAAATGGATTTTTAGATCAAACACTTAAACATTTTTATTATGGAAAAACTCAAGTCTACATAAAAATTGTGAGTAATAAAATGAACTCCCAATTTCAACAGTCCTCAACATTTTACCAGTCTTATTTATTGTTCCACCCCCAAAGTCCATGTGTTAGAGTCTTTTAAAGAAAATCTGAATTTTTTAAGATTTTATTTATTCATGAGAGACACACAGAGGCAGAGACACAGGCCCAAGGAAAAGCAGGCTCTGTGCAGAGCCTGATGGGGGATTCAACTCTGGGGTCACGCCCTGGGCCAAAGGCAGAGGCTCAACCACTGAGCCGCCCAGGTGTCCCTGAAAGAGCCAATAGAATTTGCTGACCCACTGAATGGAGGCTAGAAGGGAAACCAGAAGGCCAGGAGGTTCTAAGTTAAGACCCAAGCAACAGGAAGGAATTGTCCCTCATCTGCAGACTTGAAGGTGAGCCACCTCCCATCGAGCTCCAGTTGCTGCTAATCATGGTCCAGGCAGTGTTTCTCAGAGGTAGTCTTCAGAGATTCCTTGGAGAGCTGGTTGATATGGTAGGTTCCAGGGATCCACCCGCCTGAGGAATCAGAATGTTCTGTGTGTAGTGCCTGGGTACCTGCATCTTTTTTTTTTTTTTTAAGATTTTATTTATTCATGAAAGAGAGGCAGAGACATAGGCAGAGGGAGACGCAGGCTCCCTGCAAAGAGTCTGATGTGGGACTCGATCTCAGATACTGGGATCATGCCTTGAGCCGGAGGCAGACACTCAACCACTGAGCCACTCAGGCGTCTGGACTGCATCTTAAAAAAAAAAAAAAAAAAAAAAAAGGCAGCCTGGGTGGCTCAGCGGTTTAGTGCCGCATGTGGCCCAGGATGTGATCCTGGAGACCCTGGATCAAGTCCCACGTCAGGCTCCCTGTATGGAGCCTGCTTCTCCCTCTGCCTGTGTCTCTGCCTCTCTCGCCCTCTCTGTCTCTCCTGAATGAATAAATTAAGAAAAAAAAAAAAGATTTTGTTTGAGAGAGAGCGCGCGCGCACATTCAAGTGCGGGAGGAGCAGAGGGAGAGGACAAGCAGACTCCATGGTGAGCACAGAGCCTGACATGGGGCTCCATCTCATGACCCTGAGCTCACAACCCTGATATCATGACCTGAGCTGAAATGAAGAGTCAGACACTTAACCAGCTCAGCCATCTAGGCACCTGCCTCCCCTGCTCTCCAGGTATCTGTGTCTTAAGAAGCACATATAAGTCACTTTGATGCCCAGTGGTCTACGACCTACTTATCTTGTCCTCAGACCAGCAGCATCAACATCACCTGGGGCAGCTTGGTAGAAATGCAAACTCCACCCAGACCTGCTGAGTCAAAAACCCTGAGAATGTGGCCCAGGAATATTTTAACAAGCTCTCAGGAGCTAAAGTTTGGGCAACATCACAGAAGGATGTAGGGATTATGCACTGCAATCCGCTAGCAAGCATTAATGGAGGGCCTTCCCTGCAGGCCCCTCCCTGGCTTGAAGGTTCCACTGACCATGGTTCTAC